TCATTAGAAAGTAAATTTTGAAATGTCAAGAAATAAACTAATTGTCATGACACACACAATTTATTAACATTTTCCAGGTGGCGGCACAGCCTTAACAGTGCAATTAATGGTTGGATAAAACAATGCCTATGGCTGGAGGTTGTTGCAAAAGCAGATGGAATCAAATCAGTTTTTTGTCACTAATGTAAAGTTGTTGGAAAGAAGAATGTGCTTGGTACTACTGGACCTCTTTATATTCAGGGTTCAAAAATTAAAAGCCACAATGGCAATGGCAATTGTAAGAATGAGTGAAAACTGAAAGTGTGGAGTACAGCGATAGCGATGAAGAACTAGATAATAACAGTTGTACACCTTAGTATAAAGTGAGTGAGCCTGATAAATTAGTATTTCAAACAATTTCTTTTTGTGCAAAGTCAGAGCTTCAAAGTGAAACCATAAATAAACTACTAGATTTTCACTCCCTGAATGGTTTGAAAAGTAAAAAATTAAGTTGGACCTCAATTAATAAAATGTAGAAGATCATATCAAACTGTTTATGCAATGACACTGTGAAATGTTTTCAAAGATGTGACTTTTATGGTGTCATAATACATGAGTAGTGTGATCTATGACATGAAAAAAGGCAAGTCATTTGTGCAAAATATGTGCATGAAGGCAATGTTGAGACATCCTATCTAGGGATTGTAAAGCTGATGGCAAAGCCCATACAATTACCCAGCATTTGAAGGATACTTCTGATATATTACGAGTAGACATGACAGAAATGGTAAACTTATGTGTAGATGGAGCTGCTACTATGGTAGATCACGGAGCTGGTGTAGTTGTGCAAATAAAGTCAAAGCTCTCCCCATTTGTCACATGTCTACACTGCATGGCCCACAGACTTACACTGGGGTGTGTCTATGCCATGAAAAATATCAAACTATTTAAAATCTTCAAATCAAGATTCAACAGTTTGTATTATTCCAGCAGTTCTGCAGAACAAACTGCATAACATTCAGAGCATTTTCAAAGACAAAGAATTGCAAATCAAAGAACCACACACTGTGAGATGGTTGAGCATGAGAAATGCAGTTGATGATGTGTATTGTACTTATCCTTCTGTTGTAGCAATGCATTCTGAACTAGACAGAACAGATGTAACAGCTAAATCACTACATATATATATATACTTTAATAACACTAAAATGACTAATTATGAGCTTCATAATAAAATTAAGATATTAAAATTGTGGATTTCAGCAGGAAAAATCTGGTATTCAGTCAAGTGAGACCACTATTTGAGTCTACTTTAGTTGGAAAGAAAGATGGTGAAAATTATAGAGAAATGGTTAGCACTTTGGAATAGAATGAAGGATATATGAAAGGCCTAAAACTCTGTTTCGGAAGAGACTTCTTTAAAAGTAAAGCAGCTGATGAGTAAATAGACAGACTTTATCAAGACATCAAGGATAGGCTTACACAACAAGATAGAAAAATCACAGATAATCTGGGATCGAAACCTGAACCTTCTATTTTGATGAAGATCAAGCAAATGGGGCTGTTATTGATCTTGCAGATTTTTATGGAACCAATAAGCTAACCAAAATTTCAATTGATGCTGGTAAAAACACTGAAAAGATGCCTGTGCTTGGTACGAAATAAATGGCTTAGGTTCAAAGACATATTGAAACACACATATAAAAACTCAAAAAGTGAACAGTTATATAAAAGGGTTATTAAACTGCATGGTGATCAATTTTCTAACATGTTAAAATTGTGTCAAATAGTTTTATGCTTTTGTATAACAAGCACTGTGATAGAGCCTTTTCTGTACAAAACAGGCTCAAGACAAAATTCAGATGCTCTATGAAAACTTAAAAGATAGGTTGTTTAACCTTACCGACACGGGTCTTCCTCATCAAGTTTGTAGACTGACATTCAAAATTTTATTGAACTACTATTTCATGAATGTATGTCAATAAGTTTGGTATGAAATTGTATAATTCAAATTTTAGTATTATACATTAGTTCAATTTTTAATTTAAAAGTAATTATGAAAAAAAATACTCAATATCAATTTTTTGTGTGTCACATGGTATGTTGAATGCAACATTGGTTCAAATTAGAT